GTTGACCAACTGACACATACCTTATATTATCCCAATCCAATACTCCATTAAACCTATGACCAATAGTTTTTTTTTAATTAGCTAACCTATTACAAACCAAACTAAACGATTCATCACGATTTCTTAAGAATAATTTAATCAATATTTTTTAGATTATGCATACCAACATTTTGTATGTTGACTAATCAAGGTACGGTTTACCTAATTTATGGTATAGTAAATTTATTGTTTGGTGTATTTTCGATTTTTCTATGTACAAAATCAAAACTAAATATGCTATTTTCCTTCCACAACTCACTACCATTCAAAAATTATTCCTATTTCTACGCAATTACTATTAACTACAGAAGATCATACCTATATATTTTTTTCTTCAAAAACATAACAACATCCAAAATTGTTTCCCTATTTTTTGGGCAGTCAGCATATAAATAGAGGATATCTACTAAATAACACAATCATCATATTCTTCTAATAAAACTTGCAAAACACGTATTCCTTATATGTAAAAAGGATGTTATGTTTTTATTATGGTATAATTAAAAAGGAATGTATATAAATTAAATTAAAATAGTATATTTGCTTGATTTTGCGTTAAAATCACAACTAACAAAAATATTTTGAGTTTATTCTATTTAACCTACCTATCCCAATGTCAACTATATTGATCGCGAATTCGCAATATCCTTCATCCAAAAAATATCAACGCAAACATAAACATGGCTAGCCTAACAACTTTTTCTCCTCTCGCAAAACATAATATGTGTTAAAATAAAATAATTTTTTTTAAAAATAGAATATATGAATGATCCAGTTACAATAAGAAATGTTATATATCTACAAATGTTATATATCCACAAGTTATATAAAACACAAATGTAATATGGTAAAAGTTATGTAGCTATATTATTAAATATTAATATAAATTATAAATTTTCTGAAAAATACACCCGCGCGGATGTGCGGGTCAAAAGCTAGTATTAATTAAAATAAGTTCATACATGAATATATGTTATTTCATAAAATATAAACTATTGCGTACCAAACATAGAATCAACTAAAATTACAACAACTTCTTAACTGAAATAAAATAGTATAAATTATTTTAGTTTTACGATAATCACACTATAGCACCAATTAAAAATCATACGTTAATGTTTACGAAAGATTTTTATTACTTGGGGAAGATGATTTTGGAACAAGAAGAATGGCCGGCGTTTACATCATATCTTGAAAAAATATAAGCGAGCAAGAAAAGTTTCACATTTTTTGTGATTACGTATGTACCCGGACTCAAAACACAATGTTAGAAAAACTTGCACATGGTGCTGTCAACAGTCCGACTTTATGTCCATAGACATATAGTCTTTTGTTTGATTAGTAGAGTCTTAATCGAGTATATTTATACAGATGAAAATAAATCAAATTTATTTTTCACATTAATTATAATCACTTAATATTTGTGTAATTGGAAAAATACACTGATTTTATTTGTCATTCCAACATAAAGTTTCATATATAACCATAAATTGAAAATTGAAAACTAAAATTTTACAAATATAAGAAAAATGAAAATGATACATTAATCCATAGTTTATCATCTAAGGGAGTGTCGATCGATGTCCCCTCTGGTTTGTCGATCGATGTCTGCTATTGACTTTCTATCGATGTATCCTATGGAGTGTTGATCGATACTACTTCTAGCAAGCCATAACGAATGGTTTTGATGTGCTCTCTAACCACCTAGATCAACTTTCGTATGCACCTAGCTAATTAGATCATACTAGTGTTGTTCAGGAAACATGCCAAGTTCTCACTTGTACCAATCAATCCTAAGATAAAATGCGAATTATGAAGTCATCCTAACAACAACATATATTTAGCAAACCATGAATCAACCTTTTAAGAACCTTAAATATAACAAGAGAACTACTCAGACATATTCATAAGAAACATTATGATGGTCTGAATAATATTGCAATAGAATAATAAAGAGAGAAAGTAGAGTAAAGAAACAAAGGGAGTTCAAGATCTTCCCTCTCTCAAGGTGTTCAGATCTCTCTCTCCAATCCAAAACTCTTATCCATACAAAAATAAGCATAGCCGCAATAATTGCTTAGAAAGCAGTAAAATATAGTTTCAGGTCATGCAGGGATATTATGGTAATTTTTGGTAACTCCTGAGCCTAAATCAGTCATAAAAAATGATCGGTCCACATCGATCGATTTTCTTTTATCTTTTCGACAACTTCCTCTCGCGAGGCAGACTGACCACTTCTCCATAAAATGGGCATAACTTCTGCTACAGGATGCTGATTGACCTCACACCGTTGGAAATAAAAAGCTAACTCAAAGAGCTATCTTGTATCAAAAGATGGGCTCAATCTGACGCTGGGAAGATCTCCATCCATAGCTAGACATTTGACGCGTATGTCCATTTCTGCACTTCAAAACGCTCCAAAATCATCATATTTCTCCAGAACGTACATGAACCTGTAAATACTCTAAAAAGACTCTATATTGTAGTAAATATATCCTAAAATACTTATATACCATAGCTAATAATGGGTAAAATCTATGGTATATCAGTGATATTAGGCCGACTGATCGACCTCTTTTATGCATTATATTCTCAAGAACAACTTTCTAAGACCTTGTGATTATCTTTGAGAAGAATCACAAAACAGATGTGATGAAGCGTCAACATTTTGTCACTGCTAAATTCTTACACTTCCAAAGGGTGGACTCTAAACATATTCTTCAACAAATTGCGTAGTTTCACTCAATTTGATTCGAGTTGATTTTAGAAGGTATTTTTCTTTCCAATATACTTTTATTGTTTAATATTTGATTGAGAAGCTTCTTGCAAGTTCGGTGATCTCAAGACTTATCTGAAGTGTATTTAAGGTAGGTTAACATCTTTGAAAATATACTAAACATGATAAAGCTTGAAGATCTGAACAAGAACCTCATCAAAGATTAATACTGTTCCATTCCACATTGGAAAGTAAAATCTAAAGCAAAAATAATGTTCAAAAAGTAGGATGCTATTGACAAGAAATCAAAGGAATTTATCACAAATGTGGTAACATCACTATGTTTAATATGATTTTAAAAATCAATTTAAATGATTTTTTTTAATAATTAGTTCAAACGAGGTTCTAGTTTGTTAAACATTTATTATCTACTTATAATTTACTTATTTTTTGATTATTTGTAATGATTCCATATTTTGAACTGAGTAAGAATATGAACAGTGTACGATTTGACAAAACAGTAGTGATGCCGCTAGGGTTTTTGGTCTTCGACGGCGATTCTGAGATCCAATCCTCCACAACCAATGAAGCATCTCCCCCGGCTCTCTAAGGCTCCTGCATCGACTCGGAGGCAATAAGGGTGACTACCTACACTCCTTTTTCCTCCTCTCTCTCGTTTTTTTCTAGCCATATTCCAACTTAATCTTCTCTGGCTTTTGTGCCAAGTTTTGTTTCTGCGCCAAGTTTGCAATATTCTCTCCATTAATTCCCTTCTCGTTTAAGGCAAAACCTCTGGAAGCCCTAGCATACCGCTGCATCATAAAAGACCACTGCTCCACCTCCAGATCCATCACCCACAACCACCGATCAAACTCCTCTGCCACCAAAATTCTCTAGCACTGTGCTAAGTTTTCATTTCGATTCCCACCATGAGTCAATTATCCCTACTTGTTTGACAAGGAGCATCATCATCTGGTGCTCAACGCGAAAAATCCTCAGAAGATGACATCATCCAGATCCCTGTGTGTGATATCAATGAAGCTAAAGAACATTTCTGTCTCACGCTCATTGGACGCGTCTTCCATATCCGAGAACGTAGTATCAATGCGATGATCAACCTCCCCCCGTCCTCGAATCTGGAACGTCGAAGGAAGAGTTCGGGGTTTTAACCTCGGAAATAGTCGCTTTCGTTTCGACTTCGACAATGAAGCTGACCTCCAAATGGTTCTAAACAAAAGACCTTGTCACTTCAGTCAATGGAGTTTTGCCTTGGAACGCTGGGAACCTTTTACCAGCGAAGAATTCCCAAATACTATGGATAGGAGTTACGGGCGTTCCAGTCCATTTCTGGAATGATCAGACCTTCACAGAGATCGCCAATGCTTTAGGCAAAAAGCTTCTTATTGATGCCACAAAGGCAAGAATCCAAGTCTCTATTGATGCTGATAAGCCTCTACAATTCGAGCGCAGAATTGGCTTCTCCAACGGAGACAATGGAAGGGTTTCTCTAACTTACGAAGGCCTGCATCGCTACTGTTTTACCTGCCATCTCATCTCCCATGATGAAAACACATGCCCCCAGTTAACACCTGCCGAAAGGGAGATTAGACGGAAACATAGAGCTGAGTACTACGCCAACAATGATCAAGCGCGTCTCTCCATCCAAGGTCCCCACGAGTGTGCCTTGAGGAATCCGCTTAAGAGACCTAGATCCCCTCCGAATGGGAGACACCTGAGCCCTTTGGCAACTTCAAGAAGTAATGACCAGAGCAGGGATGAGAAAAAACGTAAAAGCACGACGACATCCCCCTCCACCAGAGAGACTCGAAACCAAGGATATCACCCCCATGACCACGCGATCTCCGACAGAAAGGAAACACGTTGCTCTGATCAAGGCAAAGAAGTTTGGAGCCATCTAGAGATCTCGCGCAGACACGACGATAGCCGTGGTCGCAGACGCGATAACCGCGATCTTAACAGGGATCATTCTCACTCCCAAAGAACAGCCAGACATGCGGCACCTAAAATAAGAAACAATTCCGCTGTGGAATGGCGACCAAGAAGCAACACCAAAGCGCCAAGAAACAGAGCCTCTGAAAGCAGAGAACCACGACACTCTGCTCTGAACCATATGGAGAGGTCGCGGGCTACTTACGACTCCCAGAGAACAATCTCTGATGCTAGAGCATCCCTGCAATCATGAGAAATCAATGATAACCGGAGCCAAAACACTGATGAAGCCATCATGGAATCTGAAGAGGAGAGGATACGCAAAATCAAAGGAAAAGCCATCGCCACAGACACACCTCCCCACGACGCAATGAATGACATGCCCATCATGTTGGCGCATCGAAGCACAAAACTCACCATTTCTGAAAAAGCTACCGATCCCCCCCCACAGCTTAGCTCTCGACATGGCCAAAGGTATGTATCCTCATCTGCGGAACTTAGGAAAAAACCTTTGGAGCTAGTAGAGGGCCTAGATCAGGATTTAGATAAGCCTTTATCAGAGAAAGAAAACACTGAGGTAGATAGGCTGGTCTTAGAAACGAAACGTTTAGAGATGGATGAGAATATGATTGACTTTGAAAATGATGATCTCCTCGGAGATAGTCCTGATTTTGATGCAGAGAAGATAGAAGCAATCTTCCAGCTATCTCCAGCAAATTCTGAGCGCTCAACTGTGGCCTCTGATACCCAACGTCACGCCTCAGCTAAGGCTCCTGCGCCTGAGCCACCACGAGTACAAGAAACCGAAGCTATGCCAAGCGAGTATGTACCAAAAGGCTTGCTCAAGAAGAAGACCTCGAGATCTCCTGATGAAAAAGGAACAAATGCTTAAAAGAAACTTCAGACCATCCAGTCGCTTATTACCAGAGCATCCCCAAAGAAGAAGCTAACCCCAGGGGTAAAAAACAAACATCTTCTTCTACTATGGTCCCTCGTACTGAGGTGTTTTCGTCTGCTTCACGCAAAAAATCTGTGTCCCTTTCAGGTTCGGTGGTGTCCCAGAAACCACCCAGTAAGAAGATATGAGTGCAATAGCGTGGAATTGTCAGGGAGCCGGAGCCTATCTGACGAAACAACATCTCTGGGAACTGCACTGATGTTTTCTTCCTTCTTTTCTCTTTTTATCTGAAACAAAAAACAGTTTTTCTTTTCTTCAGGATTTTCAGTTTGAATTTGGTTATAATAAATTGTTTACCGTGGAACCCGAGGGTGGAAGCGATGGACTAGCTCTTTTTTATTTAGACTCTTATGATGTTACTATCCTGTACTCCAACAATCGAATGATCATATAGAGGCGACTATCGAGGGCCACAAGGTTTATATCACCTTTGTATATGGAGATCCGGTCGTAGAGTACCGTGAAAATGTGTGGGAACGCCTCACTCGTATGAGTCTCACAAGGTCTGGTCCTTGGCTGATGCTAGGAGACTTCAATGAGATAACTAGTAACTTAGAGAAGAAAGGAGGCCGTAAGCGACCTGATACTTTTTTTCTACCTTCTCGTTCAATGCTAGCAAACTGCGGGATGATTGACTTTCCCTTTAAAGGCAATTTCCTCTCATGGGTCGGCAATAAACCATACGATAGGGTTCAGTCTAGACTTGACTGAGCTGTTGGAAACGAAGACTGGCACCACTGTTTCTCCCACACTAATCTGGAGTACCTTCGCCTATGGGGAAGCGACCATCGACCAATTGTCACCAGAATTCTCTCATTAAAAAATCAGGGAAAAAGGCCTTCAAGTTCGACAAAAGATGGCTTCGAAAAGATGGATTTCGCGCTCAAATACTCCAGGGCTGGAACGATCCATCTCTCTTCGACAAAGATGACCTCCATGTGAGAATTATCAGCTGTCAGAAATTTATATCTCAGTGGAAAAGAGCCAATCCCTCAAATGCGGCAAAGAATATTCAGGAGATAAAAAATCAGCTTGAGCAAGCACAGATCGATGATAATTTTACCCATGAAGCGATCTTAAATCTCAAATGGAACCTCTGCACAGCTGTAGAGATGAGGAACTCTACTGGAAACAGAAGAGCCGTGCGAACTGGCTACGAGAAGGGGACCAAAACACAAAGTTCTTCCATGCCACCACAAAGTAGAGAAGAGCTCAAAAATCGAGTGGTCAAGCTTAGGAAAGTAAATGGGACATGGGTGGAAACTGAAGAAGCTTTGGAAAGCGAGGCAACATGCTACTTTCAGACCCTCTTCACTTCCTCGAACCCCTCCGACTTCGAAGACTCCTTGAAGTATATCACGGCAAAGGTCTCCCCTGCCATGAACGAAGCTTTAACGAAAATTCCATAAAATGATGAGATACGGAAAGCAGCTTTTGACATAAAGCCGGATAAAGCTCATGGCCCTGATGGGATGACTAGTCTTTTTTCCAAAAGTATTGGGGTATCACAGCAGAGGCGATGCAACAAACGGTGAAACACTTCTTCCAAAACAGTGTTCTCAACCCCCACTTGAACCAGAGAAACATCTGCCTCATACCGAAAACGGACCGTCCAAGCGCAATGACTGAATTCCGCCGCATCAGTCTGTGTAATGTAAGCTACAAGATTATATCCAAGATCCTAAGTAAGCGCCTTAAACGTTGCCTACCCAGCCTTATTTCGGAGACCCGATCAGCCTTTGTGGCTCGGAGATAAATCACAGACAATATTCTGGTAGCTCACGAAGTTTTTTCACGCCCTGCGCACAAACACCAGCTGCAAAGCCAAGTTTCTAGCGATCAAAACTGATATGAGCAATGCTTTTGACAGAGTGGAATAGTCTTTCCTAGAAGCTTTATTACTCAAGCTTGGCTTCGCGACAGCATGGGTCTCTTGGATAAAAATCTGCATATCTTCAGTGTCTTACCAAGTCCTCCTTAATGGGGAGCCAAAAGGAAACATATCCCCCTCACGAGTGATCAGACAGGGAGATCCGTTGTCACCCTTCCTTTTCATCTTTACTCACTGAAGCCCTCATCTCCCAGATTCAAGGAGCAGAGAGAGAAGGCAGGATCACAGGCCTTAAAATAGCACGTGCCAGCCCCCTGTTTCCCACCTCTTATTCGCGGACGATAGTCTTTTCTTCTGTAAAGCAGAAATATCGCAATGTGCGGAGCTCATGAAAATTATTAACACACACGGCTGCTCCTCTGGACAACAGCTAAATATCTTTGGAACGAGATCGTCCTTAGATTCTGCTTGGACATAAACAGTCGATAGCTCTGGTTCGATATCTTTGACTTCTTGATCTTCTTCTAAAGCTAAATATGGACGTGGGTTTGTGATCCTTTGATGGATCTTAGCCTTGAAACTCTCCAGCCATCTCTCAAAACTCTTATTTCTCTTCTGTTCAGTTCTGGTCGATGGAGTCTCTACAACCGGTTTTGATTGTGGCTTTTGGATTGCCTTCTTTGTGTTGCTCGTTCTAAATCCCACTGAACCAAAATCAAGGGAGATTCGTGTACCTTCTTTTCTGAGTGGTTTCTTCCATTTGTCTCTCTCAGGTCGTGACTTCTTGGTTTCTTTCTCTTGGTCATGCTCATATTCTGCTATCATCTCAGCTGTGCGTTTGTTGTGCCTCCATTCTCGCAGCTTTTCTTCTTGTGTTTTGCGCGCTGCCTCCTCTTCATGGTTGATCTGTAGCCCAAACACATGTGATATTTTAGAATGTGAAGAGTTAAAAATGATTGGCTTCTCTTCATGGTTTCTCTTAAATAGTCCAAAAGACACATTAGATCTCTTAGAAGATGAAGAGTTACGAATGGCTGGTTGTGAAGAATTCCAAACTTCAGATTGGCTCTGATACTACTTGATACGCCCTAAATAAGGAAATGATCACTCAAATTTTTCTTCTCAATGTTCTAAGAGAAAAAATCAAGTAACCCAGTTGTTTCTCCAAGCAAACAAGGGATGAAACACAAGATACAATGATAAGGGAATTGCTTTTGAAATCCGTAGTAACCACTTCAAGGCTGGATTTCTCCTCAGGCAGCAGGATTTCTCTTCCACCACCTAGCCAAATTAAATCAGATCTTTTATTTCTTTTTTTGATAGTTTTTAATTTCTTTTTCTTTTCTTTTCTTTTCTTTTATAGAAGAATGGATATAGGTAAGGTAGTGGCCTGGATTTGAGATAGAAATAAGAAGTGTTTAGAAAATGGTAGATGAGAAGATGGATAGATAGTACCGGTTGAGTGGCTCTCATACCGCTTGATACGCCCTAAATTGAAGGATCACTCTAAGGTTGGTGGACTGGATAAGCCTTACACCGAATGAGCGAGAAAGCACAAACGATCAAGGGGTCTGGATCGAATGGTTACACAAGAGGTGCGGAAAGTCTCTTGATATTACCAACTTCTAAGCCTGAATATATGACACACTCCGACGACTCAAAAGGTAAGATGTTCGTTGAAGAACAAATGATTCAACAAGTTAAAAAGAAAGGTTTTTATTAAAAAGTTGAATGAATTACAAAGGAAATACTTAGCCCTTTATATAGTAGGCAATGTGATATACAAAAGGTTTAGTCAAAACCTAGAAACTTGAAAATACATAAATATAAAAGACTTGACCAGAATAATAGTTGTCCTTGACTTCATAAAAAGTTGGACGGTTTTTGTTGAATGACTCTTAGCCTGGTCGTGTCCTTTCGCATGGTTGAAGATCTCGGAATTGCCGTCAGACTGATATATTATACGACCATGGCTTATATTTTCTTGGTTGGCCTTTCTTGAACAAATCCAAACACTAATATCTTATTGAGCAAAGGCCTTCACGTTCTACATCAATCCCATTAGCTTCTCTTGGTCTAGAACTGCATGGATCAAACCGATAAGGCCCATAAAATGCCCATTAAGCCAAGCTATGATCAGTTGCTTAGCTGGTTCGTACCTTAAGCTCCTCGATGAGACATAGCTGCTGATCTGGATCGCATCAGGTGGACAATTAGCCGTGGGTGGTCGGAGCGTTACAAGTTGTATCAGAGCCGAACCCTAACGAGTGTGGAGTCAGTGAGGGCTCACAATAACAAGGGTAATGATCTTGGGGCGTAACAGAGACGTTGCGTTCTTTGAGAGGGGGTGAATTGTAACATCCCAGTTTAATGGTATATGGAAAGACATACGAGAATTGATTTGACTACCTATGTCACCAAAGTGCACTTACCTTTTTGGGAGCACATCTAGAGAGAACTCCAGAGTTAAGCGTGCTTGAGCTGGAGTAGTCAAAGGATGGGTGACCTATCGGGAAATGATTTGCGGTACAATGTAAGTGAGGCAAAGCACGGGGAAATGTCATGTGGTGATTGCAGGGTCAGTAAACATGACTCTAGAGCCTTGGAAAACTAACGGACTGACCTTTGGAATGGGATGAGGCCTACGGGTCAAGTGAGCGAGCGTGGGTGGTCCATTAGCCGCCAATTGCAGATCATTTGGTGACAACCCGCCCCATAGGAATTACCCGCCTTTTAACATCACTCCCACAGAACAAGCTGTCACCAATTGCATATCATTTGGTGACAACTTGTCCTGTGGGAATATTATTAAGGGGTGAGGACCTGGGTTCGAGTCTCACTAACAACCTAATTATGGAGTTAGTGAGAAGGGTTGGGATCGGTGCCCTGCAGGGCCAATCTAAAGACCATGGGACGAGTAGTTTCTACGGGTAGTTTCCATATAGCAGGTTGTTACAATAATAGTCATAATTTTTTAATGGGATGCTCTCTTTCTGGTGTTACTATTCTAAGATATATACCATCGTTTTAATGTTGGTGGTTGACCCATGATGCTTAACTACTGTGTAAGTTTCTTGTATTAAGTTATTGTTGATTCGTGATT